GGCTTGGTGTGGGTGACCTCGTGCACCAATCAGAGCGCAGCGGTGGAAAAGCAGACACTCACACAGCGACGCCAGCCTTGGCTTCATTAATTACCATCTTTCTATCAATATCTCATTATGTGAGCTGTCGTCGTACGCTCAGGGAGAAGATGGACCACGCGCCGGTCTGTGTATCGCCCCCCGAGCCTTCGGGTCGTCAGGAGGAGTCCGCTCTGCGTTGGTCGTTTGGAGGATTTAATTAGCAGTTAGTTTCCTCTGCGGGAATTCCTTTTCATTAACGTGTTGAATGGACAGATAAAGACCAACATGAGCTGAGAGAGAGAGACCAGAGAGGGGCCAGAGTGAAAAAAAGAGGGAGAGACTGGAGAGAGACCAGAGAGAGGCCAAAGAGAGAGACTGAAGAGACCTGAGAGACTATGGCGACAGAGAGAGGCCAGTGGACCTCATGTATGAAACTTGCGTACGGCCAAATCAGGGTGTAAATGAGACGTACGCAAAAGATTTACACATTGCGGCATTTATCAATCTGGACGTGAGCGTACGATACGTACATAACATACACCAAGTCAATAGGTGGTGTAAATGTGTACGCTCATTTCAACCTTCATTACAACACGTCAAAACACGCATGAAATGCAAGATTTGGACAACAATAAACATATTCTCACTCTGACAAAATAATCTGAAAAACATCTGAAAAACTCTTAACACTTTGGAAACACTCACATTTAGAATAAATCACAGTTCATGATGAGGGCCATCTTCTGTTTCTTTGTTTTTAAATCTGACTTGTGTGTGTATTATTTTAATCTGTATGTTTTTTATTTTTTATGTGAAGCGCTTTGTGATCCTGCTCTGTGACAAATACACCAGGCTTAAGCCTAGCGTACATCGGACTGGCAACTGATTATATCCGTCGCATATGAGTTGCTGCCCCGCACACATCGACAATCTGACGAAAACGGGCAACTCCCAGTAGCAGGGCAGTCTCGGGAATAACAGCGCGTACATCGACAGCAACTGGCCTCAACTACAGTGTGTTTTCTGACATAAACTGTAGAGGGTGCGCAATACACACACGTTGTCGGAGCGGCGCATGGATCTATCAGGAGCGCGCACATCGGGTCATATCTCCGAAACTGAGGACAACTAGTTGCCGAAAAGTAGAACACGAGCAACTGACTGGAACTGGAGACCGACTGATCATCTCCAGTTGTAAGAGCGCTCACATCGACCGAATTCAGCAACTGATCATCTCCATCATCTCCTCTCAGTCGCCAAAAGCCGCCTTGCAACTAGTTGTCCCCAGTTTCTCTGTCGATGTACGCTAGGCTTTACTTACTTACTTAATGTGTGACCATCTATTTTTGTGGCAGACCCTGCGTAATTATGCATGGCTATTTGTTTTGTCTCATTCACCTCTGGCAGAGCAACGTATTTCTACGCAGCGATGGCAGAGAAAAGCGTTTTTTTTTGTCGGAACGGGCGCAGTGCGCACTGCCCGTCGTGAGACTCATACGCATCCTTTCTCTCTCATCACTCCATTGCATTCACAAGAAGATGTCGCCGACGCTTGACCCAGATGAGAGTCACCGCTGAGATATTAATATTATTTCATTCATTCATTCATTTCTAAAGAGTGGGTCTAGAGACTAGGGAAAAACGCGTATATAATATAGCGGGGTTTTCTTTTTGTTTGTTTTTTGTCAAAATAATACAATACAACTCAATATAAACTCAGTGCGTGTCACTAACAGGCCGTCTGAAGCTCAAACTAGACTTTCTGGCCAGCTTCCATCCTGAGCTGTCGTAAAAACGGGGCGTTTTCTGAATATTTCTAGGCGTGACTTTCATAAATTACGGTGGCCGAGAGGGGTCACAACAAATACAAATGCTAAAAAAAATACAAACGCCACAACACAACAACTTTGAGCCACAACACAACAGCTTAAAGAAAGCACAACACAACAACTTAACGAAAGTCACAACACAACAACTTAACGAAAGTCACAACACAACAACTTAACGAAAGTCACAACGGAAGTGACCGGAGAAAACGGAAGTGACCGTAGGACTGCAATAGTCGACGGACCGGCATGTTATGGACGCTAGTGGAAGAGGATTTGAAGTTGGAAAAGTAAGTTATAGTAAGATATTGCTTTGCTTTGTAACCATGGTCGATGTCACTTTATAACTGGCATAAATAATTACTATTGTTAGGTTCATAATACTTCGTTGTACAGTTATTTTCCTGCCCGCGAATGTCAAGTTTTCTATGTAGTAGTGGATGCACAATATATAGAATAGTACAGCTTTCCATGGATAATATTAAAGCTGCGTAAGAGGATCAATGACAGATTAATTAGTAGTTATTTTAAGTCAGATATAAGTTCTGAGTTGTGCTTGTGTTTGTCACCAGGATATGTTTTGTCCATTTTGTGGGGTGAGCCTTCAAACCGTTGAGCCCTACCACTGTGGAAGAAATATTCAGTTTTTGCGGAGTTTTCAACATGATGAAGGTACGTTTCGTTCTAGGATGCGTTATTCTGAAATATTATCATAGATATAATAACTATTCCTTAGCAGTTCAGTTTGTGGTAACAATTACACCTTCTGTATCTTCTGTGTGTATTCAAATATTCAAGTAAATTGCATGGGTTTGTACGGAAAATGTAAAAAAAATTCTTTTGATGCCACATTAGTTTTATATATCACTAATTACCAATTCCTTTTCAATTGTTTTATAGAAATATAAATAAACTGCATTTTACAGTTAAACACCAGCTGTGTTTTGTGATTTAAAAATGCCAACACTGAAAATCAATAGTGATTGTGGGTTGACAAAAAAATATTGTCAGTTTGATACTTTTTCAAATTTATGTTATAACTGAGACTATTGTAGATAGATAAATAAATGCAATGCCTAGTTTAGTCCTTAATCTGGTATCTGAATTTCTACTCCACAGGCCCAGAGACTTCAACAATGGTAGATGAACTTATCCAGAAATATTTCACGGAAGGACATAGCTATGAAATAGTAATGGACTTGCTGAAAACAAAGCACAATATTTCATTAAGCCATAGCACTTTAAAGAGAAGACTACGTGATGCAGGTTTGACTAGGAGGACCAACTACACTCCAATGGCTATAGTTCAGGCAGCCATTGCTGAAGAGCAGAAGGGAGTAGGTCATCTCTTAGGCTATCGGGCAATGTGGCAGACTCTCAAACAGAAGCACTCTATTGTGGTCAGAAGAGATGATGTAATGCGTTTAATGAAAAGCCTGGATCCAGCAGGAACAGAAAATCGCTCAAGTCGCAGATTTGTTCGGAGAGCATATTGTTCTGGGGGACCAAATGACACCTGGCATGTAGATGGGTATGATAAACTGAAACCATTTGGAATTGCCATTAGCGGCTGTATTGATGGATTTTCTAGAAAAATCATGTGGCTCCAAATGTGCAAAGTCCAACAAAGATCCATCAGTCATTGCTCGAAATTACATCAACTGTGTCACTGAGTATGGAGTTTGTCCAAAGCGCCTTCGTACAGACTGTGGCACAGAAAATGGAATAATGGCAGCACTTCACTGCTTCTTGAGGTCGGAGCACACAGATGAATTTTCAGGGTCCAAAAGTCACATGTATGGTGCGTCAACATCAAACCAGCGCATTGAAAGCTGGTGGTCCATCTTTCGTAAACAAAGGTTTTTATCCTTTTTATAATTTACTTGACAGCTTGATTTACTGTTTCGGTACAGCATTACAGTAAAATGTGTTTTATCTCTCTAGGAGTCAGTTTTGGATAGACTTCTTTGGTGATTTGAGGGAGAAGCATCTCTTCAATGGGTGTCAGGAGCATATGTCTTTAGTACGATACTGCTTTCTGGATCTCCTGCAAAAAGAGCTGGATGACTACAAGCGGCTCTGGAACACTCACACTATCCGTCCTGTTCGCCAGTCCAGATGTCCATCTGGTAAACCAGAGGCAATGTATCATGTGCCTCAAAGGTGAGAATGACATGATCATATTTAAGCTGGGAAAAATTATTTTAAATATGTCTCCATAAAACACAGTGAATTCATGATAGAACACTACAGAATCAATGTCATTGTAAAATGTTCCTATAATGTATGACAGCAATCCTATTAGTCACTGTTTTCTTTGTTCAAATGTAAGCATGGAATTCATTAAAACAAAGTGGTAGAATTACCATAAAACAAAAACTAAAATATTAAATCAAAGCTTTGATTGGATGCTTGCTTATTCTGTTCCTAGGTTTCATGGGAGGAACTGTGGATTCCTAACATCTTCACAAATGCTTGACCACTTACACAGCCTACTTCCCCCACTAGCAACTCCCAGAGATGAATTGCAACCTGTTTTTGACGAAATGCAACAACAGAGAGGTCTGACGACTCCTCTGCAGTGGGAATGTGCTGTAGAGAACTACATCATTCTGAAGGACTTGGCTGGTTTGTAAAACCACTTCTACTATCCAAGGAACCATTTTGGAAGTTAAAGGATGGAGGATTAAAACTTAAATGTTAACTGTAGTGTTATTTTCTGTGGAATGGAGGTGGAACATTCTGTTCATTTGTAATGAGCTGACGGGTTCAGGTTTTGATGTAAATTTCAATAAAATTACAAAACACACTACAGCTGTATTTGTCATACAAAAAACACACCAAGTTAAAATGAACACGTTGGCCTTTTAATACAAGTAAAAAAAAGATCAAAAGTTTCTTGCCCAACTTCTTAAGTGCTGATAACTATAACAACGCATCGTGCTAGTTGCGGCCAACAAATAAAAGGTAGTTTCAATGACAATGAAATGTTTGGAAACACTCGCCTGAACATGTGGCCATTGCCGTTAATGCAGTAACAATGTAAAAGAGTGCAACTTGCCCGTTGTCTGGCTTTGTAAGTTTGTTTTAAGTGGCCAACAGTACTGATTGAGCACAGCATAGCCTAGTGAGATACGACAATCTTATGGCAAATTAATGACATCCAAATCCAGGGGAATTCTTTATCCCAAAATTCATGTTGGTTTTAAAGGCACTGTAGCAATGCAGCAGAGGCAGCTTTAAAGTATTGGAACATGTATTTGCCATTGGAAATTTCGAACTGGTGAGAAACTCGAGGCGTGGAGTTAGATCAATTCCTGCTGGAGGCACGCATGGTACACCTGTGGCAAACATGAAGAGCTCCTCAAGAGACACCGAACTGTCTTGTTCTAAAATTAACAGGTATAAAAAAATCAACTGAATGAAAACATACAGCAGTACTGATCAGACTGTAAATAAAATTATATCAACCTTCACAATCAAGTAGGTAGTCTGCCCAGTAGCTCATTGTTTGATTCTCCAGGACCTTCCTGTTGCTTCCATCTGGGCTCATCTCAGGTTTGAACAGATGTTCAACCTCCTTAGCAGTTAATCTCTTATTCGTGTGGCAGAGGACATGGGTCAGAATCGTGGGATGCTGCTGTAGAGCTGTCAAAAACTGCAAACTGGCGAGCCCGGCTTTAAATCTAAAATACAACAGCAGCATGATAATGTGGTTAACCCCCTAGCATGGTTAGGTGCCTTTTCACTTTGATCTTTCCATTATTTTAGGTGATATTTATTCTAGCCCCCATTTCAACAAATAGTTCTTCAAATTCCAGTCATTTCAAGTAGATTTTAGTTTAGGTTTTCAAGTTAGATCTAAAGATGACTAACAGTGCTACAGTTTTATGTATACCGTTTATTTGCTAGAATGCAGAGATAAGCCAATAGTCTAACTATAGCCTATGATAAAATACCTTTCAATTGCAACATGGTTCCTGTCGATGATGTACCACCACATGTAGTCCTTCACAATTTTGTCTTTTTCCTCCAGTGCCTTGACATGTCTGAAACATCCTGCAGTTTGCAACACAGCACTGTTCTCTGCCAGCAGGTCTCGCAGATTCTCCAGGGACGGTGCATTTAGAATCTAAAACATTTTAAAAAAATATATGGTTAATTGTATTATGCAGATCGCAGTTGAATGCCTCCTACCCTTTCATTTAACCTACACTAAACAAAAGTGTAACATGTACAAAACCTTTCCTTCCACCTATTGCATAGTCTCATACCTCTCGTAGCACTTTCCCTATATCTTCATCTGTAATGTCTCCTATAGATGACGCAAAACTGGATTTCCCTGAGATGAAGTTGACCAGATCCTTTGAGAGGAAATTTGGACCTGGACCACCGTGTACTATGGACATAGCAATCATCTTGCCTGCCAAATAATATTCATCCACTTTTATTGCTGCCCGTGGGAATGCAAAATAAACATTAAATTAGTTGCTATATTTTTGTCACATTGCAGGGTTGAATTATTTAGTTTATTTTAGAAAACTATACAAAACATAACCTGTTGAATTGTAAACAAGGTAGCGGCTCTCTGCAGGTCCATCAAATATTGGTCGTCTGTAGAGCTCCTTCATGAGCAGGGAGAGGAATTCTCTCTTTGGGCCACCGGTATCGATACCTTCCTCAAACCTTCCAGCATCATCAGAGAACTTAACTAGGAGATCATAGTTTTCAGAAAATGTTCCCCTTTTGAGTCCCCTAACAGCTCCATCCCAGATGTCAGAGCGACAGATGTTAAATCTGTTGACATGTTTATGGTCAATCTGGAGTGTCAGATTTTGTATTATATCTGAAGCAGACAGCTGTTCCACCCTAAAAAACAACAGGATATGTCACTTCATAAACATAATGTAAATGATAGCAGATGCATCTAAACACAACAAAACCCACAGTTCTTGAGAGGGCGAGTTGTTTCTTACTCTGTTTCTTTTGGAGTATCATGGCTTTTATTGGAACTGTCCACACCTTTAACTTCTTTATCCTCTTGATCATCGATCACAATGGGTGAATACAACTCCGTGTATTTTCTGAGAAATTAACATGAAAATTAATATTTTCAAATAAATAAGATTTGTGATTTGAAGAGTGAGAAACATTACATGTAACTAGTAGTTTCCATCACATTCACTGCTGTTCCTTGGTCCATTTGTGAGTTGGAAGGCAAGTTCTAATCCACAAAACATGACGTTAGCAAAAATACTTACATTACAGTCAATTTACAAAGTATAGCATTTGTTTTCTACATCACGTAGACCTTAAATCAGTGTAACATAAATAGTTGTGCAGAAGAACATTAGTTTTTTGTTATATTTTATAACATCACTAGCAATTGCCATTGTAAGTGAACAGGTTTACACACAATATTTTTTTTCAGTTCAATCGTGCAACATGAAACATAACGTTACTAGGTAACAACACACAATGTTTAGGAACTACACATTACCAGAGCTGTTAAATCAGTGTGTGATTGTTGATAATCGCTTGTACTGTTCAAGGCAGGTTCCGATATCTGGGGATAATAAAAACAAGTTTTTGTGTAGTACTTCAGATTACATAAACCAAACTATGTCAGAAATAATTTATTTTATTTATGGGTTTATTTAGTCAGGACAGTGCATGTTAATGAACATACATGGGTCTCATGCATGTAAACACCACACCGGATTATAGCCGTGGGGTAATTTGCATCCGTTGTCCCCCATGCGTACTCTCATTCATCCTGGCCTATTGTACATGTTTTTAGTGGTAGGGGAAACCAGAGTACCCGGAGGAAACCTACAGACACAGGGAGAACATGCAAACTCCATACAGAAAGGCCCCGTCCAGGTGGGAATCGAACCCGGACCCGTCATATAATCATATGTACATATTTGATTGTACTATTCTGGCATTCAGTATTGTACGTGATACACATTAGAGGGAATGGTCATTTCAAAATGTCTGTTTTGAAATATGAGCAGTGTGTAGCATGGGAAAAAAACATATATATACCACTGTATTGAACTCCGTCTCACTACTGCTCATGATGATCACCTCTGAATCGGAGTCCTCGGAATCTGTGGTGGCCTCCTGAGCTGTGAAATACCAGATCAGATATGGACAATTATATTAAATCAATGAACCAATCCCAGAGTGCTCCTCCAGGTTGGCAATTAGTCTCGGGTTAACTCACAACAGGTCATGAAATCTTCAACTGTACAAATGTACACTGTGATGCGTTGGTACGCTTTCCCAACTGCCTCCTTGTAGTCTTTTACAGAGAATGGGGTGTTTGTTCCTGGTATATTTACTATCTTTGTACCATCAGGATACACCAGAAAGTGGGGACCAGGAGGTAAGTTTTTGTTGAAGGCCTTCAATTTTTGCAGTGCCGCATTTTGCAATTCTTTGGCATCTGAGCTTGGTTTGAGTGAAAGGGGGAGTGTCATTCCTCTCATAGGACTCAAGACTCCATCTTTCAGTCGCATAAGGCCTACCGAAATCTACAGAGAAACAACAGAAGAAGGCTTCTGTAAAGCAGCCCACTGACTTACAACATGTATATTACACACTACGAATACATGGCAAGGTTGACGACCAAACAAGCTCATTAACGTACAAACACAAATTGAAGTTACCTTCACAAGGTTTTCTTTCAGCGGTTCTTTTTTCTTTTTGAAACTTAATTGCCTCTCCTTCTCTTTTGATATCCTGAAATTCCGGAACGACTCCAGTGCACCCTCTTCTTTTATGCCTCCTGCATCAAACAGAGGCAATCAACTCTTATTAAAGCGACTTTAAGAATAAATAAGAAATCTGAGACAGTTACAATATAGAACACATATGTCTCAAGTTACATATAGCAAAATTGTAACATTACCCTGACTTGTGCTTGGTTTTTGGACATCACGCAGGAATGTTATATTCTTTCCACACGAACTACAGAATGTCGTTTCGGGGTTTATTCCCGAACCGCAAAAAGGACAATACATCGTAATCTGTAAAGTGGGACACTGATCATGTCACGAAGGTCCAATGCACGTTGCTGCATTATGGGCTAGACACACGGGAGGCGACATCGCATCGCCTCCATTCATTTCAATGGGACGTGCGCGACATAGCGTCAATCGCTAGCGAGCCTCCTGCTCAGCGACGGGCGAAAAACGTGCGTGTGAAATCCTCCCGCTCGTGCATGTATCGTGCACGCGCAGGTCAGCGACGCGATCCCAGAAAGTTGAAATCGGCTCAACTTTTCGACGCTGTCGTCAAGCCGCATCGCGCCCCGTCTGTCATGTTATCTGAGCGACAGCGTTGAGTTTCGCTGATCGCTCTCATTTGTCGCCTCCCGTGTGTCGAGCCCTTTAAACTTTATAACATTAGCGCACTGCCCAAGTCATGGATGGCAAGTTACAGCGGTACAAGTGGAACCTAACAATAGTGATTATTTATGCCATTATTTATGTTATAAAGTGACATCGACCATGGTTACAAAGCAAAGCAATATCTTACTATAACTTACTTTTCCAACTTCAAATCCTCTTCCACTAGCGTCCATAACATGCCGGTCCGTCGACTATTGCAGTCCTACGGTCACTTCCGTTTTCTCCGGTCACTTCCGTTGTGACTTTCGTTAAGTTGTTGTGTTGTGACTTTCGTTAAGTTGTTGTGTTGTGCTTTCTTTAAGCTGTTGTGTTGTGGCTCAAAGTTGTTGTGTTGTGGCGTTTGTATTTGTTTTAGCATTTGCATTTGTTGTGGCATTTGTATTTGTTGTGACCCCTCTCGGCCACCGTAATAAATGCACTGGTTTTCACCGCAGCATTCATCAACAGCCGCGGCTGCGTACGCTCAAATCTGTGCGTATCTCCCACGTTCATAAATCCCGCGTTGAGTCTGGCGTAAATGGAATATACACCAAAAATATACACCGTTTTCTGCGCAACTTTCATAAATGAGGGCCATTGTGAGAGACTAGAGAGAGAACTTTAGTGATGGCAATATGAAGCCCCATGAAGCCTTGAGGGATCGCAGCCTATTACTCGGCCCATGAGTCGAAGGCTCGAGGTGAATCATGCTCCACTACGCCATCATGTGGACAAAGAAATACATAACACTCTTAAGTGCTTACAATGAATGGTGAGATCTAATGTTAAAATGTATATTTACAATCTATGGTCTAACGTGTTGTGTTTGAAATGATGCTTCATGAACTATGAACTATTTGAGTCTTTCAGTCAATTGTGTTGATACAACAAACACATCCAAAGTAATACAGTTCTACAGAAAGTGATTAATGGAGGAAAAACTACCAAGAGGTGGATTAATTAAACACAACAAACCATTTATTCCCAATAAATAAATACATTTACTTTGCAACACAAAATTTATTATGGGTAGACCAGGATTCGAACGCTATATCTTCTGGGACTCGTCGCCTTATTCTGGAGTGGAATTCGGTGTGCCGCAGGGTTCGGTACTCGGACCGATTCTTTTTACTCTCTACATGCTGCCACTGGGAAACATTATTAAAAAGCATGGAATTAATTTCCACTGCTATGCAGATGACACACAGCTTTATCTGTCGATGAAGCCTAATCAGACAGATCAGCTAGAAAAGCTCAGTGCCTGCATAAAGGACCTTAAAATGTGGATGACTCTTAACTTCCTACTTCTCAACCCGGAGAAGACAGAAGTGATCCTACTCGGTCCGAAGCGCCTGCGTGACTCCCTCACTAACCAGATGGTTACTCTCGATAATGTCAGTATAATACCCAGTAACACTGTGAGGAATCTTGGAGTCATTTTTGACCAAGAACTCTCCTTCAAGGCTTATATAAGCCAAGCAACTAAAACGGCGTACTTCCACTTACGGAACATCGCTAAAATTAGGAATTTCCTTCCTAAAAGTGACGCGGAAAAACTCATTCACGCGTTTGTCGCCTCAAGGCTCGACTACTGTAACGCTTTACTGGCAGCGTGCCCTAAAGCCTCTTTGAAGAGCTTCCAGCTCGTTCAGAATACAGCAGCTAGGATCTTAACAGGTACCAAAAGGAGGGAGCACATAACTCCGGTGTTAAAATCACTCCACTGGCTCCCTGTGGAGTACAGAATAAAGTTTAAAATCCTACTCTTAACATATAAAGCCATAAATGGCTTGGCTCCTTCTTATCTCCAAGACACGTTAGTGTCGTATCAACCAGGTCGAGCGTTGCGCTCACAAAACGCCAGACGTCTGGTGGTCCCTAAGGTCTCAAAGGTCACTGTTGGTGGCAGAGCATTTAGCTACCAAGCTCCTTTACTGTGGAATCAGCTTCCCATTTATGTTAAGGAAGCAGATACGGTCTCCACATTCAAGGCCAGGCTTAAAGCACTTTACTTTAATTTAGCATATAATTAGGTAATATATAATATGTAGTGTATATATTATATATATATGCTGTATTATGTTATATATTATGTTATATATTATTCAATAATGTATTGTGTTATGTTGTATATTATGTTATATATTAGGCTGTATGTTATTCTTTATTCAAGGCTAGGTTTAAAACAGTCCTCTTTAGTTTAGCATATGGCTAGGAAGGTAAGACTCGGAGAAGGTTAAACTCCTCAGAGTGTCAGTCAAGCTGCATAGGGAGCCCCCTGCTGGAGAAGTATGGTAACTTGAGCACTATCCTCTCCTCCTTCCTACTTTATCTGTTTAGCATTTTTAGGATTCTGACTGTAGTTTGTTCATTGCTATTCACCCGTTGTCCCATTGTCTGTTTCATGGTACGATGACGGGATCTCTGAGCCTGGCCTCTTCCATCTACACCTGCGGACTGCCCCGCCCGACCTGCCTGGGAGTGCTTCAGTCCTGCACCGGACCTGTCATCCACGTTCAGCGTCCACTGGTCCACGTTCTGTAGCTAGCTTAGGTCCTAGATCATTAGCCTGTCCGTCCGGAGGAGCGGATCCCTTTCTCATATGGGTCTCCCTCCCTGTGGGTTTCCCTAGTTCTCCTCCAAGGTTTCTCACTTTTTCCCACTGGGTTTTTTAAGAGTTGTTCCTTGTCGATGCAGGAGGGTCTTGTTGGACAGTTAGTGTCCAACAGAAAGGATTGGTGATGATCAGGACACTTTAGCATTCTACAACATGTATGGACATTTTCTTCTGTGTGTGCTTTATATTCTTCATGTGTTTTAACTGTTGATTCTCTGACCTGTGTTGGTGATTTCAATGGTTTTGTTAAGTCCTCTGAGATGACTTCTGTTGTGACCTAGGGCTATACAAGAATAAATTGTATTGTAAATTGTATTGTATTGTATTCATGTGATCTCGGAAACTTTGGGATACCTACGTAATATTCCGACTTCCCAAAATCCGATGATGAATCATGAGGAGCTGGTGACACACAGACACATACAGAGTCACACACACACACACACACACACACACACATACACACACACACACATACAGAGTCACACACACACACACACACACACACACACATACACACACACAGACACATACAGAGTCACACACACACACACACACACACGCACACAGAGTCACACACACACACACGCACAGAGAGGCCTTGGTCAGTGCTGCTGCGTCTCTTGGGAGGGCCATCTCCTGTCGTTTAGCAAAGCACTCATGTTTAACAGCCTGCACCATATTACTTAAGGAACGAGGAATTATTATCAAATATATATAAATATATATTTGATAATAAGATAAAATGCAATATCTTTTACTTGTTTACATTAACATAAATTAAATGTAGATAATTTCTTATTTTTAACAATGAATGGACAGGCCTGGGGCCTGCCTGGGGCCTGCCTGGGGCCTGCCTGGGGCCTGCCTGGGGCCTGCTTGGCACAGTCTACCACAGAAAATTGTGAGTACTTCAGAACTTATCGTGACACAAAGCAATGAGAAATAATTTAGCATGTCTTTTTATAAGCTTGTTCACTACACTCATCGTGTTATTATTAATTACAAAAACTACAAAGTGTATTAATCCTACAAAATCTAATCTTTCATTTGGCCCTCAGTTTTTATATAGTCTAAATTTAAGATTAGCTTCTTAGCGTTAATCTGCAAAAAACGGCTTGTTTTAACCTTTTACTGTTTTTGAGCAATCTGTCACAACATATAATATATTGTTTGGTTCAAAACACTGTCAACATCAAGATTCAAACTCAGGTCGCTGCATTGTAAGCACGACGTCTTAACCACTGGGCCACCATTATGTTCAATGTACAGCCTGCCCCAGAAAGGGGTTTAACTGTTCATAAAGAACGTGGCAAGCTTTGCATCAGACGAAAAGTTACGCCAACTCGTCACTGCAGGTCGCTGTTGTAGTCAGTACAAGTCGACTGCATTTGCAACATTTTAAACTCAGATAAATCTGCTTTTCCCCTGTCGCCAGGAGCAGAATATGTCTCAGACGATTATGAGTTTACATATCTTTCAGCTTCATGCTGCTAATATCTGGAACAGTCTTCCTGAAAATGTGAGACAGGCTTCTACTCTGACAATGTTCAAATCCAGGTGAGAGGAGTTTACTTTTACATGTAAGTCAATAGGAGCCAGAACAAGTTGGAGCCAGACTTTACCATGAGTGCCCTCCTATTGGACTTCATTGAGCTTGCAAGTTACAGTAGCATTGTCCCTCAGTATACGGTCACTCAGACAGAGGTATTTTATATAATCGGATTCACATATGAGACTCCGGTAGTGTGTCACTTGTAGTTGCATGACTCCATTGGAAGTTGGGGAAGTCTGAGCTCCATTTAGAAGTGACGATCACATGGATAAAAGTCTTTGTTAAACATTTAGTCACATACAACATGACTAATGGAATAATAAGCTTTGTTCCAACATCCCAACCTACTGTTCCATCTGCTACTGAAAATACTACTGTTAATAGTATTTAACACTCTAAAACCTTAGGTAACATGTCTCATTATCCTTTTCATGGCAAAAATAATGCATGACATTTCTTCTTTAAAGTGGTAGAAAATGTCAGCTCTGTGGAGGAAGGGAGTTCACAAACAGGTTGCATTCAGCATGTTTACAGTGTTTCAGTGTTAGAAAGGATCGTATACAAACCTGAAAGATGCCTTTAACTTTACTGTGTTGCTGAAACTGGACATGACACATGACATGAGCTGTTGTGGAAAGTGAGAGATTGTCGCTTTATTGTTATTTTCATTGTTATTTTTGTGTGGAATACTATGCAAGCTACTGTCACAACGCAATTTTCCTTGTGGATCAATAAAGTGAAGGCAGGGAGAAAGGCTAACGGCAGCTGTGTGTGAATGAGGAGAACATGCAGAAGTGTGCTCAGCTGCTCTCTGGGGAGGACTTCTGCCGCTAACACATGCCAGTCACATCAAATATATTTACTGTATTTGTGTGTCACCCTTAATCACAAAAGCAGTCAACATGGAAGACTTAAAAAAGTTGAGGATTCTCCAACAACCAATCGGAGAATCAAACAGTTTGAACACAGGAAATGCAATAATAACAAACACATAGGAGCCAGGGGTCCATAGGGAGCCTATGGAACCTCTACTCTCTAAACGGTTCTCAGCTCTACTCTACCTGATTGTTTCCATAAAGTCCTTGGTAACCATGGCTTCCAGAAGAACTCTGTTTTCGACATCGGAGTACAGTGCAGTACAGAACAGTAGAGTAGAATATAGGGCTTCTGGAAACCGGGTTTTTCACTCAGCAATCCATATTGGCCAATTTGATTTTGTGACGCAGCCTGTGTTGTTATATGGTTTGTGCTCCAGCTGTTCTCCAGTATGATGTCAGGGCTCGGTGTGAGTGGCCCTGGCTCTCAGAGGGTCCCATGGGTGCTTCCCTCTCACTCATGCTCCTCAGCAGCTGTGTCCAAGGCCAGAGGACCGACAGGGAAAGAGACATGAGCTTCTTATGATGCAAAAGCTCAGAGTCTGTAAACACAGGTCATGTTTTCACTGAGTCTAGGAGAACAAAACACACAAATGGTAAAGTCCTCTACATCATGCTGGTCTTCACTTCTTACCAACACAAGCCTGAGTTCTGCAGACGGTTCCTGACCAACTCCCAGCAACCAGCTGCACGCACTACTGAGCACAGGTCCTGAACTTAAAGAATTTGGCCGTTAAAAATGATAATGACTTAATTCATTTTGTTATTTCATGTGTAAAATATGGATTAATATCTTTTGTTGAAATATATGGAGAAATAAGTATGGCGGGTTAATAATGCTATCGGCCTGTAACTCCTTGTGACTTGTGCTGTCATGAAAAAGTCCTCTCACATTAGTCAAGAGGACTTTTCCCAAATGTTGAAATTATTGATTCCAAACACTGATTGTAAAGGTCGTATTTTATCTTTAGAGAACACTCACTTATGGCAGTTTGATGTCATAATGGTCCTATGACCTCACATGGACTGATATCACGCTCATGTGAACTCAGAACTCAATTCACATTTCAGAATATTGGAAATTATTGCTGCTCAACACCTCTTTTTGGTTTCAAAATTTCTAGCAAATGCCCAAATAAGGAAATCGGCTCCAGCTTGCTTATGTTCAACGCGGTAATATATGCTTTATGTTGCCATATCTTCGTGCTATAATCATTAGGAGTCAGAGGCTTCAGGAAACATCAAAAATAGAGTTAGAGGCCATTGTGTGATTTTAATGTTTCTTGTCTTGTTTTGTTAAGCCCTTTGACTTGCCTTGTGTATGAACTGAGCTGAAACATCTGCTTTATTTTCCCTTGCGCTCCTCAGAAAATGCAAATGTATTTCATTGCACCAACATTGAGCATAAAGGTGGATGGATGTCTCACTTTGCATCAGAAACCTGAACCAGGCCCAAAGCCCCGGCACTTTGTAGCGGAGTGGCTTTAATGAGCGTCTGTTGTCAGGAAGCACGTTGCCAGATCTACATCTCTGGATGAAGTCATAAGAAGTAACTTTATGGCAGTGATGTCCGTCCAAGGCCAATAAGTAAAAAGAGCTCCAGTTTCCATCAGCTTTTGACTCTGATCTGAGCTCAGAGGACAGGACCAGCACTCAGAGGGACACTGTGATAGAGATTGAGCATTGTAATGACTTATGAGCAAAATAACTCTTTCTTTTCTGGTATTCAACAATGCTACCTTTAGTATCTTGACTGATAACAGGAACTTGATGACTCCTCCAACTAATTCATGAAAGGTTGGGGATAACAATAGTCCACAGATGGGCAATAATAATCTGTTAGCTCAACGAAGCTCAATATAGATGTGCTCATGGACTGTGCTCCAACTCGCTATGGCTCCTATTGATCCATCTTGTAAAAGTAAACTCCTCTTGCTCAGTAACCGTTTGTGTCACACTCACCCTTTTCGCCTTGAATCTGTGGTTTAGCGCGTTCTGCGATCCAGGTGTTTACATTGTAATATTGTATTTGTAAATCTAGATTTGAGCCAGCAACTGATTGGTCAATAACAAAATATTTTCCAATCAGTTGCCTTCATTCACGAGAGAAACCTTAGCGACATGTCTGCACCTGTTGGGGCGCAAAGGTTACGGAGTCGCAACAAATTCTCATGTGGAAATTGGCTCCAGCTAGCTTATGTTAAAATGGGCTTCTGTGATAAAAATGGCTATAGATCACCATCCATCCATCGATCTTCTTCCCCTTTGTCCATTCTTGGGTCAGGGGAGTGGCAATCAGATGCCACCAAATCACAGAGCACCAACCCCTCACTAATCCTCCTGCATGTGTGAGTCTGCAGGAGGATGGCTGCTCTGTCACAGAATAGCCGTGATCTTTTAGTGGAAGCTTCATGCAAAGTGGGGTTAACTGTCTTGCCCAAGGACAGTAGACATCAGTGGAAGTTGGTGGAGAATGTCTCTCGGTGGACTCAAACCCACGATTGTCAGGCTGAAAGGCCAATGCTCTACCAACTGCGCCACTGTCATTATGCATCATATTCATTCCTATCACCATCCACTTATGCACAAGTCTCTCCATAGCCTTGCATCAAAGTACATTCTAGATAATAATATAATTGCATTTGTTTTACATTAAGCTTATTTGGACACACACACACACACACGTGGGCAATGTGCGTTAAGTGTCTTGTCTAAGGACTGAGCAATCTTTAGGCACTTTACAGTCACAGCTGCCCCATTGTGGCAACTGGTGTTAACAAAGGTCTCCCATCACGGTACAAACCAGGCCCTGCCCTGCACAGCTTCAGAGGTCTGACAGGATCTGGCTTTCACATGCTCTTTACCTTGTACACTCACGATTGTGTGTCCTCCTCTGACTCGAACTTGATCGTCAAATACACTGATGACACCACCATCATCAGTCTCATCAGTGACAATGATGATTCCTCTTATAGAGCAGAGATCGAACATGTTTTTCAGTGGAGTAAAGTAAACAATCTCCAGCTGAACACTGCAAAAACATGTGAACTTGTCTTTGACTTCAGTCGTAGCAGTTCTCACACTCCTGTAGTTATTGACAACTCCCAGGTGCAGATCGTAGAGGAGCAAGTTTCTGGGTTTAACTCTGTCTAACCTGAAATGGGTTAAAAACACTGACCGAGTCGTTAAGAAAGCTCGTCAGCGTCTCTTCTTTTTACGGAAACTTAGAGAATTTTCCAATAACTCTAAGATTCTGCTTAACTTTTATGGCTGCACCATTGAGAGTTTACTTGTTGGTTCTGTGTCTGTGTGGTTTGGAAACATCACAGATAAAGAAAAGAGAGGTCTATATATTGTTTTTTTTGTCGATCGGTGCCACAGTGTCTTTTATTTATGTTCAGTGTTTGTTTATGTGTATTTTATATTACATTGGATTATGCTCTTCATTCTGTCGGTGCACACAGAGTAAGTTTTTTAGCAAATGTATCCCAATGTGGTTTTTATACATACATTCAAATAAAATGAATCTGAATCTGAATCTGAGAGAGCTTTTCAGATTAATACAGGTAAAATCTGGAGTGGTTTTCCTGAATATTTATGACCGGCTTCTACTCCGATGATGTTCTAATCTGTTGCATTGTGAATGAACTGTGCATTACAAATACACTTGCCCTCCTTTGGACCGACAGTAGCTCAGTTGGTAGAGCCTTTAAGCCAGAGGGTCGTGGGTTCAAGCCCGACCTTCACCACCTACTCCCACTGTCTGCTGTTGTTGTGTCCTTGGCAAGACACTTAACCTCTGGGAACAGCAGCCACAGTGGGGCGGCTGCAAAGTGCCAAACTGACGTTGTGTCCTTAGGCAAGACACTTCACCCCCATTGCCTAGAATGAGTCTAGTCTGTGTGTGAATGGTTGGTGGTGGTCGGAGGGGCCGATGGCGCATGCTGGTTGTCTTGCTTCTGTCAGTGTGCCCCAGGGCAGCTGTGGCTACAGTAGTAGTTCATCACCACCGTGTATGGAGTGAATGAATAATGACACATGTGAAGCATCTTTGAGTGTCCAAAAAATAGCTAAATAAAACCGATGCATTATTATTATCCTCTCTATCCCACGGCAAGCTTCGTCACACATCCAGCTCTTTGAAAAATGTCAGCACATCAGCCAGCTGTGTTTTCAGTCCTTAAAAGCAAAAAAGTTGACAAAAACCTCATATTCCCAACTTCTCCTTAAAAAGCATGGAAACAAAATGATTTGAGAGCTATAGATTGGCCGATCTATTGCTACGTGCAATCAGCAAATACGAAAAGTTAAAATTTGTCTTCATGTCAAAGGAGAAACGTGATCCAAATAAGCCATTTATTAAAGATTTGGAAAGTACGAGTGTCATGCAAGGTTTCTGTGTTTAATGGGAGAAGGCTGACCCCTGCAGGACAAAGACAGAACTGCAGAATGGACGGATACATGGCTTGAGTTCTTCTTTTGTCTTTTTATGTATTTTTAGATTGGTATTTTACAGATTTTATTTATTATTTTTTAATTTTACATATCATATTTAATTTCATATATTTAGGCCCAAGTCCCAACAGAAGTAATGGCCTATTGCTTTCCCAACGAGTCGCCCAGGCATTACTCGTTAACTGTCAGAAGGTCCGCTCTCCAGTAGCTTTACTCTTGCTGCAATACACAGTTCGCCCCAAATCATCTAAACACACGTAGGATCAAAAGTTAGCAACAGAATTTTAACTAGCCAAACGATCTCCGTGCAGCAGACTCCCGAATTGCGGTTATTTTCATAGAAACGTGTCAAGTTCCTGTGTTATTCAGTGGAGAGACACACTCACTGATTATGGGCATTAACAATACGTCTCCCCCATCAGGAAGATGGCGTGCTAGCGTGGTGCGGCTAGGGCCATTCACGCCGCTTGCCACTTTAATTTTCATTATTTTTTATATCCATGTATTCAATCTAATACAGGTTTGAAAATAAATATACAGAGAAGAGTAGAGCAGAGTAGAGTAGAGCAGAGCAGAGTAGAGTAGAGTAGAGCTAAATCAGGCTGGCATAAACAAAGCAGTCAGTTTAACTGATTATATACTGTATTTATTCACCTTTAATAAAACAGGAATGTACCACCCTGTTTTCTTTCTGAGAAGCAGGAGTGCTAACCCCTCAGCCAGTGTGCCATCCTCGCTTTCTTGTGTGGAATTGTGTGGCATCAATGATGGCCAACCCGAACCAGAATCATTTTATTTTTTATTTTTTTCAGAAATGGACTATGGAGATGAAAATGGATATACATCTGATGATAGAACGCTATCCTTACTATACTCATCATCATTCTCTCATCATCATTCTGGTCTCCCTCTGGTCTCTCTCTGGTCTCCCTCTGGTCTCTCTCTGGTCTCTCTCTGGTCTCTCTCTGGTCTCTCTCTGGTCTCCCTCTGGTCTCTCTCTGGTCTCTCTCTGGTCTCTCTCGGGTCTCTCTCTGGTCTCTCTCTGGTCTCTCTCTGGTCTCCCTCTGGTCTGTCTCTGGTCTCTCTCTCTGGTCTCTCTCTGGTCTCTCTCTGGTCTCTCTCTGGTCTCTCTCTGGTCTCTCTCTGGTCTCTCTCTGGTCTCTCTCGGGTCTCTCTCTGGTCTCTCTCTGGTCTCTCTCTGGTCTCTCTGGTCTCTCTCTGGTCTCTCTCTGGTCTCTCTCTGGTCTCTCTCTG